CACGCACCGTATGTTCTCACTCATAGGTGGGTGTTGAACAATGAGAGCACATGAACTCAGGGAGAGGAGCATCACACAGAGGGGACAGTTGGGGGGTGGGTAGGGGAGAGACAATGGGGGGTGGGGAAGGAGGGAAGAGTAGGAAGGGATAACATGGGGAGAAATGCCAGATATAGTATGCACCTAAATTAAAATAAATAAATTATTAAAAAATACATTGGAAACAACTTAGGAGAAGAGATAAATAATGTTTGTTCATTCAATGAAATGTATAGCAGCAAATAAATGAATTGCAGATGCACAAGGAATATATTGTGTATTAAAAACAATATAATGGATTAATTTTATACAAGCAAATATGCACATATATGAAACCAAATAAAAGCAAGGAAAGCATTCAGGATTGTGGTTACCTACATAAAGTTAGAAAATATTGGTAAAGTTTGTTTTTTCTTTTGTAGGATGAAATATTTCATAATAAATAGTGTCAGTGATGACAGCTGTATATACTACTGCTATGCATGGGGTCTAAATGCAGGGTCTACTGAGAATTATGAAATGTGGTGTTCTGAATCCCAAACTGTGTTTTCCAATTTAATAAATATCACTGCATAGATCAAGGGAGCATCTCCTGTGCTTATGAGGTCTTAATCAGCAATAGGAGACTTAAGATTGCTGGTAGTCCTTGCCATCAATTCTTCCCAACTCAAGATAGCATAAAAGGTGACTAAAATCAACAATAACTTACTGTACATTTTAAAATAACAAAAATAGTGTAATTGGATTGTTTGTAACACAGAAGATAAATGCTTGAGACAAAAGATACCCCATTTACCCTGATGTGATTATTATACATCATAAGCCTTTATCAAAATACCTTATGTACCCTATAAATATATACCCCTACTATGTACCCTCAAAAATTAAAAATTAATAAAAATTAAAAGCTATTTGATAATAATGAAACTGTACAGTGACTTAATGAGATGACTTTCTTATCAAGGAAAGGAGCATTTAAGCAGATGGCAAGTGACCAAATGGAGTAAATTAAAGTAACCTCTTTTAATATACAGATCATTTTTGTACCAATTCCCTTTCAATCCAAAATGACTATGATATTCAATTATTTTCTTGGGATTTTCTTTTAGCCAACTTTCATCCCACTGATCATGCAAGCATCTGAGAATTATTTTCCCAAATTTCCAATTAATCGATTGCTTCAATTATTACCCATGTCTGAGTATTCTTGACTTCTAAGTCATGGCATTCATGAATTTGCTCATTAATATTATTTAAATTTCCCTTCCTGTTTTTGCTGGTTAGTTAGCATGTCTAACAGAATTACATCAGCCAGAGGCCACCAACCTTTAGTTGGTTTTTTGTTCACAGAATCAGTATTTTATTATTGTAACAATCTTCTATTCTCCAATATAGAGCTAACTTACTTAGAATGAGTCTTGAAACTAGAAAAGAATACTGCCTCAGCAAGATGCCTGTATTTGATAGATCTGCTAGACTAGTCTATTTATGCTAACTGCAAAGATATTACAGTAATCAACCACACAGCAACTGATAACAGGGAAATGGGTTATACTGATCTCGGCAAAATGAAGTTTCAAAATTTCCCTCTTCAACTCTTCCCTATATTTATCTGCTCTCATAGCCAGATAGCTAGGAAATTATTTATTTCCATCCTAAGTCTTAAGTCCTATAGTATAAAGTCATTTCTTTCGTTTTTCTTTTTTCTTTTCTTTTCTTTTTTTTTTTTTTTCTTTTTTTTTTTTGGTTCCTACAACTGAGTATCTCAATCAGTAGAATAATTTTATTTTGTACAAAATAAAAAACACAAATTATTTCCAAAAATCAAGGGCATATCAATCATGCACATCACAACAATATCAGTCATACTGATGGATTCCAACAAGCATCATAAAACATGTTGGCAGCTATCCTTGCTACGCTAAAAATATAATATTTTGATAAAAATAATGTGTCCAGTTTGCTCAAATAAAAGACATTAACAGTCACATATTTCCCTGTGTTGGATGGCAATAGCTATAAAGAAAGTGAAATACATTTTGTGCAGATCAATAGTACTGCCCAAACAATTGACACGATTTTCTACTTCTTGCAATAGTATGGCAATTAGTCTTTGATATTCACTGTAGATATAGAAGCAAACATAATGCACTATTAAAAACATAAAATTGATTTTATTTTACTGCTCTGTTGGAAGAGGACTACAAATTATTTCACACCCTTCAGGTATTTACAACATAATCTGTAGTATTCAGGATTGCTAAAATTTGCACCTACTTAAGAAATTCTGAATTTTTTCTAAACTATGAATGACTACATTGAGCTAGATAGTGTGTTACCTCACAAAGATCATGGTAATACACACCTGAAAATTTCATCTGTGCATTTCACTTCAGCTACATGCAAATAGTTTTTTTGTGGCTGAAGGAAGGAGTTTTCTTTCTGATTATAAAAAGGTCAAATCATAATTTTTTACAAGACATACCTCAAGGGAAAATATGATAAATAAATAAATTTCAACATTCCTATGGAAACAACCCCTTTTAATTATCCTTAGGACTATGTTGCATTATCATTTACATTCTGGCCAGCTGAGGTTCAAATTAGATAGCTCCATGGGTGATAGGAACCCTGAGGCCCATGAAGATCCTCAGGACACAGGTGACTGTTTCAATTATTTCCCTTGAATGGTTTAACCAGCCTTGGTGTCAGCATGGGGCAAAGTATTGGGAGTGTGATGCGTGTAGCCATGTAATTATGCATTTAAGTATATTTTCCTAATTTAAATATGCCTGAAAAACTTACATGACTTGAACCTGAAAATTCCTGTGGTCTAGTCATTGGATATAATCAATGATCCCTGAAGTGGGAGTTGGTTCCCTTATTCACAAGCTTTTGAAAGATGCCTTTTCATAGAGAAAATCATATTGCTGAAATTTCAAAATTTGAAGAATACTATTTGTCTCTTTTATAACATGAATTTTTAGCTAAAAGTGAGGCTGAAAATGTTTTCAGCAACTCATAGTCTAGTTGCTACCTAAAGCAAAAGAATCTGAAGGAGCATAAACATTGCTCCTACCATATGATAAATAACTCCTGAAGCACACCCAGACAATAGTCAGAGAAGGTAGGAGCAGAGCTGAGAAGAGAAACATGATGGCTAAAGTTGTTGATATTTATGCCAAAATATTCCCTAATGAGACAGCAAAGTGGGCCAACTCTTAGATAAAGATACAGATACATTCCCAGACAATCTCCTATGCAAGAATGTGCATATTATTTTTCATCTCAATGTCTAGCCACCAACAAGTGGCCTCATGCCTTGATTCCTGACCTGGAACACATATCCATGTTCAGCAAACAGTTACTATTTTTTTAACTCTGGGAAAATATTGATTCCTGCTCATCTTTCTTTGATGAATATTCTTCAAAATTATAATTTAGTGGGAAAAAAATGGAACCGTGGCTCATTTTCCTTCATGAGTATATGCTGTTTTATTTTGATGTGCAGAGTGACACTGTTTCCTCTCTGGAAGGTCAGGCCACCTGCCCTCCCAGCCTCCTCATACAAATAATTGTGGTGCCTTACAACATGAGCTGAAGGTAGGCTCATTTTCCCTTTCGCGATTCTGTTGCCAAGTTAGAATTAGGTGTTAGTGAAGTCAGAAAGAGACAGTTCTTGCTAAAGTAACACCCAGTGGGGTTTATAAAACAAACAAACAAACATAAACACCCCAATATAGGAATATCAGTGAAGTTAAAATAGCCAGGTTTAGACTCACTCCTGAGGATGCAGAGTTCTACATAATAACAGCAATCTGGTCTGCAAGTGAAAGACACTTGCTTGTATGTATAGATATCTGAGGTTTTCAAACAAAGGCAGAATGGTTTAAAATCGGAGTAGAGAAACTGAAGGAATCAGCCAGAAAACATAAAATGAGCTAAACTAGCCTTTGCTGAAACCATAAAATTTTCCCAGATAAGTCATACTCATTGATTTCTTGTAAACTTTCATTAAATGGCAGCAAGTTTCATTAATACATTACACAATTATTTTGTAATTAGTTATTTTTGTAAAAGAATGATTTAATTTGGGCCGGGGGTGGTGATTCATGCCTATAATCCCTGCACTTTGGGAGACCGAGGCAGGTGGATCACAAGGTCAAGAGATCGAGACCCTCCTGGTCAACATGGTGAAACCTTGTCTCTACTAAAAATACAAAACATTAGCTAGGCATGGTGGTGCATGTCTGTAGTTCCAGCTACTCGGGAGGCTGAGGCAGGAGATTGCTTGAACCCAGGAAGCGGAGGTTGTGGTGAGCTGAGATCGTGCCACTGCACTCCAGCCTGGGTAACAAGAGCAAAACTCCATCTCAAAAATAAAAAGTGATTTGATTTCTGGTTTATCTTCCATTTATGGGGGATGTGCTCTGAAAGAATGGGGTCACCATCTGATGGCAATTATAGGCATTAGCCAATGTAGTTCAGGAGAAATTCCAGACTTTTAGATTCAGTCATGCAGTGCATGATATCAAAAGCAGCTATAGAGAGATACAGAAGCATATATATTATATGAAGTAATTCAAAGGCACATGTAATTCATAATATTAATTTTAATGTGAAATATTACCTCTAAAAGCAGGCTCATTTCTTAGATTTTAAGGCATAGCAAGAAATAGCTAATACTTACTGGGTAAATGTTCTTCAAACTTTCTAATGAATCAATGTACTATGTTGTCTCATCATGTAAATTCCTCACAATTAAATGCCAGGTAGTCACAGCATATGCATGTTAGGACTATACAAACTGAATGTAGTCTTAAAATATGATTGTCTTTGGAATTTAAAAACACACCCTTATAAAGACTGATATGAATAACTTTTGATTAAGAAATTAAAATAACAGAGCTAGATTGTCTTTGAACCAAAAGCAATAGATGTAAAATCATAGTGGTACTTACCACAGTGAAATTCATTACTTTCAATATCCATATTGTCATGGCCAAGTTAACTATCATGGTAACCAAGAGCAGAAGGACAAAGAAGTATAAGCACCTCTTTCGCCATCCATAAATTCCCACTGGGTAAAGTTGTGCATTTTCTGTCCTTGGTAGGTTATTATGTTGTGTTGCTAGTATGTATTGTTCTCGGGTCATCTGAAAAAGAAAGGAAAAGAAAGAAGGAAAGAAAAGAAACATTAAAAAAAATGATTTTTTTTAAAGACACAATGTACCTTAAAATAATGGGAAGTGAGTGTTCAAATAATTGTTGTGTAATTAAAATGCTACAGAAATCTTCGAATAATTTTCATCAATACAGATTTTTAGAGCTCTTTAATTCAATGTTATATCCACAAAATATACATTATTTCCAGTCAGATTTGTCCGATTTCAACAGTATGCTTTTCTCTTGGGATGCTCAGAAGACTACCAGATCTACCTCCAGTTACCAGCAAACAAAGAACTCTACTCATGTCCAAGTGATAGAGTTTGGATCTGCGTCCCCATCCAAATCTCATGTTTAATTGTAATCTCCAATGTTGAAGGTGACGCCTAGTGAAAAGTGATGAGATCATGGGAGTGAACTTTCCCCTTTGGGGAATGGAATTCTCAAAGTCTTAGTTGTTTAAGTGGGTGGCACCTCCCTCCTCTCTCTTGGACCTTCTCCTGCCCTGTAATACCTGTCTGCCTTCCCTTTGCCTTCCACCATGATTGTAAGTTTCCCGAGGTCTCCCGTAAGCAAAAGCCACTATGCTTCCTGTACAGTTTGTAGAACAATGAGCCAATTAAACTCCTTTTCTTTATAAACTACCCAGTCAGTTTCAGGTATTTCTTTTTAGCAGTGCAAAAATAGATTAATACACCAAGCTACTCTTAGACTATGCTTTACCTATTTTGTGGTAGACAGAAACTAACTACAACACGAGAATTTTCCTTACCTTTCTCTAAACATGTAGGATACAAATGGTTCAGTATATATGCTTCAATAAAAATGTCAGCGAATTTTCAAGAACTAAAAAAAAAACAAAACAAAAAAAACAAAAAAAAAAACATGTTTGTGTGGATTTATTTAGGCAATAGGTATAAATTAGAAGTTTTAATTGAGAATTCTGTTGGTTATTTTAGTTTTATTTCAATGAGTTATCAGAAGAAACACTGAACTCTAAGAACACCATATACTATACTATACAATTTCATAATGTAATAAAATTAGAAGTCAGTTTTGAAAAAGTGAAGATGATATTCTTCATTTTTTAATTCTATATTTAAATTGAATGCATAAATTCAGGTTCTAGAATTAATTCTTTCAATAAGCAAATGAATTTTTTCCTGTCTTATACAACTTAGAAATATAGATAAGGGTAAAAAATATGAATCAGTACTGAAGATGTCTTAATTGTACAGTTTTCAGAATAACATATTTGTTACCTGAAGGATGGAAAGTGATTTTATAATTTTCTATAGGACAATGATTGTTCAGTATTATTTTTTTCAGATTTTTTCTCAGATTGCTTTTATTCTATCTTCATTAAATGATTAATCTAACAGAAGTACTTCTGAATAAATTACACACAAGTAAAACTTGCACTAATAAGTAATTAAAATTATGTTAATATAAAATATATGTACTACAAAATTATTGTTATAATGTTCATTGACCCAATCCTACTGCAGATAAAATATTGCAATTTTTTTCTTTCCCATAGGTTTTTGGGGAACAGGTCGTATTTGGTTACATAAGTTCTTTATTGGTGATTTGTGAGATTTTTGTGCATATATCACCTGAGCGGTATACATAGAACCTAATTTGTAGCCTTTTATCTTTCGCCCACTTCTCACTGTTTCCCTGAGTTCCCAAATTTCATTGTATCATTCTTATTCCTTTGCATCCTCATAGCTTAGCTTCTACTTATGAGTAAGAACATGGAATGTTTGGTTTTCCATTCCTGATTTACTTTTACTTCATTTAGAATAGTCCCCAATCCCATCCAGGTTGCTGTGAATGCCATTAATTTATTCCTTTGTATGGCTGAGTAGTATTCCAACTACTCATACAATGCATCTGCATGTATGCATGTTGGACTATTACTCAGTCATAAAAATATATATATGTATACACACACACACATATATATACACATATATATACATATATATACATATATATGTATACACACGCACACATATATACACACATATACACATATATATGTATATATATACATACATACACTCACCACAGTCTTTTTATCCACCCATTGATTGATGGGCATTTGGGTTGTTTCCATATTTTTGCAATTGTAAATTTTGCTGCTAAAAGCATGCATGTGCAAGTATCTTTTTTTGTGTAATGACTTCTTTTCCTCTAGGTAGGTACACAGCAGTGGGACTGTTGGATCAAATGATAGTTCTACTTTTAATTCTTTAAGGAATTTCCACACTGTTTTCCATAATGGTTTTACTACTTTACATTCCCACAAGCAGTGCAGAAGTATTTCCTTTTCACCACATCCCCACCAATGCCTCAATTTTGATTTTTTGATTATGGCCATTCTTGAGGTAGTAAGGTGGTATTGCATTGTGGTTTTTATTTGTATTTCCCTGATCATTAGTGGTGTTGAACTTTTTTTCATGTTTGTTGGCCATGACTTCTTTTGAGAACTGTCTATTCATGTCCTTAGTCCTCTTTTTGATGGGATTTTTTTTCTAGCTATTTTGTTTGAGTTCCTTGTAGATTCTGGATAATAATCTTTTGTTAGATGTATAGGTTGTGAAGATTTTCACTCACTCTATGATTTGTCTGTTTACTTTGCTGAGTGTTCCTTTTGCCATTCAAAAGCTCTTCAGTTTAAGTCCCAGCTATTTATCTTTGTTTTTATTGCATTTGCTTTTGGATTCTTAGTCATGAAATCCTTGATTAAGTCAATGTCTGGAAGGGTTTCTCCCATGTTATCTTCTAGAATTTTTACAGTTTTAGGTATTAGATTTAAGTCCTTGATTCATCTTGGGTTGATTTTTGTATGCGATGAGAGAAGAGGTTCCACTTTCATTCTCCTACGTGTGGTTTGCCAATTATCCCCACACCATTTATTGAACAGGGTTTCCTTTCCCCACTTCATGTTTTTATTTGCTTTGTTGAACACAAATAGACAATCTAAGGTCACACCACAAGGAACTAGAGAAAAAGAAAAACCAAACCCAAACCCAGCAGAATAAAGAAAATAACAAACGTAAGAGCAAACGTAAATGAAATGGAAACAAACAAATAAAAATACAAAAGATACACGAAATACAAAGTTGGTTCTTTGAAAGATAAATAAAATTGATAGACCATTAGCAAAATTAACCAAAAAATGAACAGTGAAGATCCAATGAAAATAGGAGATACTACAACTGACACCACTGAAATTCAAAAGATCATTTAAGGCTACTATGAACACCTTTATGTGCATAGAATATGAAACCTAGAGGAGATAGAAAAATTCCTGAAAACATACAGGGATTTATATTCTTGTAAAATATATATATATATATATATATATATATATATATATATATATATATATTCCTGTAAAACTACCTTAAATCAGGAAGAATTAGACACCCTAAATAGAGCAACAACACACAGTGAGCTTGAAACTGTAATAAAAAATTACCCACAAAGACTCCAGGACCAGATGGATTCACAGCTGAATTCTACCAGATATTCAAAGAAGGAATTAGTATCAATCCCACTGACACTATTCCAAAAGCTAGAGAAAGAGCGAGCTGGGCACAGTGGCTCACACCTGTAATCTCAGTACTCTGGGAAGCCAAGACAGGTGAATCACTTAAGGTCAAAAGTTTGAGGCCAGGCACAGTGGCTCACACCTGTAATCCCAGCACTTTGCCAGAATAAGACAGGCAGATCACAAGGTCAGGAGATCAAGACCATCCCCGCCAACATGGTGAAACCTGTCCCCACTAAAAGCTCAAAAAATTAGCTGGGTGCAGTGGTACACGCCTGTAATCTCAGCTACTGGAGAGGCTGAGGCAGAACAATCACTTGAACACAGGACGTGGACACTGAAGTGAGCAGATTGTACCACTTCACTCTAGCCTGGTGACAGAGCAAGAATCCATCTCAAAAAAAAAAAAAAAAAAAAAAAAGAATTTGAGACCAGTCTGGCCAAGATAGTAAAACCGTGTCTCCACCAAAACCACAAAAATTAGTTGGGCGTGGTGGTGGGTGCCTATAATCCCGTTATTTGGGAGGCTAGGGTAAGAGAATTGCATCAATCTGAAAGGCAGAGATTTCAGTGAGCAGAGATTGATTTCAGTGAGCAGAGATCGTGCCACTGCACTGCAGCCTGGGTGACTGGGTGACAGAGTGAGACTCCTTCTCAAAAATAAAAAAATAAAATAAAATAAGAAAAAGAGAGAGAAATAGAAATAGAGAATCCTCCATAAATAATTCTATGAAGCCAGTATCATCCTAATACCAAACAAGGAAAGGACATAACAAAACAAAACAAAACAAAACAAAACAAAAAAGACAAAAAACTACAGACCGGTATCACTCATGAATACAGATGTTAAAATCCCTAACAAAATACTAGCTACCCAAATCCAATAGCATATAAAAAATATAATTCATTATGATCAGGTGAGTTTCATGCCAGGAATGCAATGGCTTTAATATACTCAAGTCAATAAATATGATATACGCAACAGAGACCTCAGAGACAACGCCACACATCTACAACCATGATTTTTGACAAACCTGACAAAAACAACCATTAGGGAAAGGATTCCCTGTTTAATAAACAGTGTTGGGAAAACTGGCTAGCCATGTGCAGAAATCAGAAACTGGACCCCTTCCTGACACTTTACAGTAAAATTAATTCCAGATGGATTAAAGACTTAAACATAAGACCTAACGCCATCAAAACCCAAGGAAAAAACCTAGGCGAAACCATTCAGAACATAGGCATAGGCAAGACCTTCATGACCAAAACACCAAAAGCATTGGCAACAAAAGGCAAAATAGACAAATGGGACCTAATTATACCCCAGAGCTTCTGTACAGCAAAAGAAACAATCATTAGAGTGAATTGGCAACCAACAAAATGGGGAAAAATTTTGTGATCTACCCATCTGACAAAGGGCTAATACCC